ACCCCAGTGTCAGTCCCTGTTGGCTGTAACAAAGACATGAGCCAGGACCTTACAAAACATATTCCAAGTTAATAGCACTGTCTGTGGTTAATAACTGACAATAATGACTGGGTTTAATGGCAACTGCTGCTTTGCATCTTGTGACCTGGTGGTTGCATGCTGAGGGAGGCAGTGTTCTCATGTAGAGTCAATCTATATCTCCTAGCACCTCGTGGTCCCTTTGTGAGGGAACTAACCGGCATCTCTTGTGTCGACAATGAAGTCACACATTTCAAAGGTTCGTCCTTCTACCAAACCACGTCCAAAAACTCTTGCCCGTCTGGCATCCCCGATCTCAGACTGGACCACCATGATTGTTACAGGGCTGTTTGGTACATGGCTCCCGTTTTTCTTGATGCTAACCAGATGTTCTCCTACTTCCCGTGGAATGAATGAGATGCCTACAAAGCAAAGAAATGTGAGAAATTTATTCAGTTTTTATTCATATTATACTTGATTTAAATGCCTTCATCACACCAAGAAATGAAATACTGAAATAGCACCCTCTTTACTCATGTTGAAATATTGCTCTCAAGTGGACCACAAGACCATTCATATATGCTGACAAAACCCACTCCAACTGTAACCTGGCACATCACATGCAAGCTATGACAAGAAATCTTCCTTCATGATTTTCTGTCTTTGGGCAACTGCAGCAAACACTGTCAACTACTTGGTTGGACAACACTTTCTGTGAAGAAGCACAGAAATCAGTCATTTTACACAGCAAAGCAAACTGGAGTAAAGGCTATCATAGCCTCAGAGCTTACCAATGTGGTTATTGGGCAGTCTCTTCAGAAGACAAGGCTCATCACGACCAGACGGGGCTTTAATGCTGGCTGTTAGGAGACTGAGATCAGTCTCATTGATGTCCAACATGAAGTCAGCAGCAGAACCAAGCTTCACCTGAGACCGTCTTCTGTTATCATCTGCATACATAAAGAGAAACAAGTCATGAAACATTACAAGGTTAAATGCAGAGCAAGTCAGAAGACTTCAAATTCCTGCAACAAACCAGGTTCCCCAGGTTATCAGAGGTTAGTTTTTAATATGAAGTGCTTTCGGAAGTTTAAACTTTGTACCTGTGATCTTGGCTGTGAATGGACTGCCTGGAATGTGTTTGTCATTGTATTTGACCAGGATGCTGTAGTTTCCAGGTAAAGTAGGCAGGTATGTGACTGTGCATGTCCCATCTTTGTTATCAATGCAACTGATCTCTGCTTTTGAAGGTCCTTCAATAGCCAAGTCCAGCCCACCTAGGAAAAAA